CTATTACAGATAAAATTTAATTAATATTTTTAAACGGAATATAATGTATAAAAAGTTATTCTATTTATAAGGCCCACAGCGGGCCTTGCAGTGGCCATAGATTAATAAATTCTAATCAAATGAAAACACGCATTGTACCCAAAAGAAAAAATCAAAACACGCAAATTCGCAAAAATCATAAAGCAAGCCAACTCTTTTTTTTTTCCCTTAAAAAAAACTTAATAATGGAATTCTTATAACTTTAATTCAATTAAACTCAATCTTTTAATTTTAATTCATTATAACTCAATTTTTTATAATTTTAATTTGATAAACTTTTTTTTTTACAATTTAATCCCTATATTTTCAACCACTTAAATATTAATTTTTATATTTAAAAAATAAAATATAAAGATTAAAAATATTTTGAACTCTTAACATTTATAATATTTATAAGATTAAAATAGTTTAATAATTTAAACTAATAGTAATAAGTTTTAACATTGTTATAATCTTATAATTTTATTACTACTATATAAATATTAAAAATTATTTTTACTATTATTATTTTATTTTTTTAAAATGGAGGGATTAATATTTAAGTGGTTAAAACTATAGGAACTGAATTATAAAATATAAAATTTAAGAACTGAAGTACAACTGAGTTAAACCTATAATGATTGAGTTACACCGAGTGAAAATATTAAAGATTGAGTTATAATTAGATCAAACTACATGAACCCAATTATTAATTTTTTCTTAAAAAAATTAGAAGATTATTATATTGGGAAAACCACAATCAATGAACATTAATTACAATAAAATCTATTTTTAAAAATTATTGAAAAATATAACCAAGGGTCTAAAATTAGACATGAAAAAAACACCAAATATTTTAAATAAGAGTTCGGGTTTTGAAAATATTTTTTTCAAAGAAATCGGGTTGAGGGCCTGGCCTCTAATAAGCTTTGTTGTGAAAAAATGTTCGAGCTCGGGCAGTCCCCCAAGCCTTAATATAGCTTGATTATTTTATATACACACACACACACACACCACACACACACACCTTATATCTATATATCTATATATTTGATTGATAATGACATACTTAGTTAGTTAATTTTATTATAGGTGATGAAAAAAAAGTTGTAACGTAATTACATTGAATTTTCACTTTCATCTTCAACAAGTACACTTACATTCGAGGGATCTAATGTTTTATTTGTAGATGATGAGCATGAGGAGGATTTGAGTTTTGATTGATGAATGTGTGTTGTTTAGATTTCTAAATATGTTGTTTAATTTTTTAATATTGTGTGTATTTTTTAATTTTAAAATATTTTAATTAAATTTAATATTTAATTTTATTTTCATTTTTTATTTTTTTTTGAACAGGACTCTGGGCCTAACCCTGAGCCCTTTACATAAGGCTGAACTTAAAAAAAGAGGCTTGCTGAAAATGCATAATTAAGCTCAAGAGCCTAGGCCTTTAAGGACTGAGCCCATAAAGCTGAACTCACTTGTATTCCTAACTATAACACCAAGTCCCGCATCGTGTGGGTGTAGTAAGGTGAGGCGAAGGCATCATATATATATATATTATATAATTTATAGAAAGTTAATCTATTTATACACGTGGTTAGTTTTTTTTTTTTTTTTGTTTTTATATCTTTCACTCAAATAATCTGATCGCACCTTGCAAGTACTTCTTTAGAGATATACCTCCCACCCAACATATGGCTAGTTTTCAACTCCATGCAATTGACAACTTTCATATTTAATTTTGAAAGAATCACATTCAAAGATCTGATAAAAAAATTATTTACAAACAACGACTAATAACAAATTTTCATTTAAAAAATAAGTTCATATTCTTATGTTAATAATAATATATTTCATATTAGTCATTCTATACAAATAAATTTTCTTGTCAAATTTTGAATGTGATTCTCCTTTTTATTTTTATAAACTTATTAAATATTGATGATGAATTAATGATTAGAATTTAGACGTATCATATGTTATCCCATTCTAGGATCACCTTATTCTCACCAGCTAGTGTTAATAGAGATGTTAATAAGATTTAGACACGTCATCGTATGGGTAAGCATTAAGTTAAGATAATCTATTAGATGTTATACGACTTTAAAAAAAATATTAAAATGTTGAAAACATGACTACGATGATTTTTTTTAAAATAATAGATAGGCAAGTTTTTTCAAAGCGCATAGAATGAGAGCTAAATATTGTTCAAGATTTGTGATAGTGTGTTCTCTATGGATGATATATATTATATATATATATTTGTAAATAAAATTCATTTTTAAATATGGCATTATTTGTACTTAATATAGGAATAAGAATAGCTCCAAAATCCCACCAACAACACACAATACCCTAAAATCTTAAGGTCCTTAGCTGTAATTAATTTATGTACATTTACTAAAATACTCTCCTTTTTAAAAAAAAAATTTACAAAAAATGTCCCTCAATGCCAGTTGCCTACCATGCCGGTCGAGCCCCACTGCTAGTCACAAGAGCCACTAGTCATCAGTCGCCAGAGTTCTAGCGCTAATGAGTAAATTATTGATCATGAGTTGCCATATGTGGAAGGACATAACCTCCTATATCCTAAAAAATTCATATTTTTCACTAGGCCATTGATGTCTTGATATATACATGCAAAAAAATTATACATATATAATTTGGGAAGACAAGATTGATGAATATAAAAAATTCAGCAATAACTGATTATACTTGCTATTCATGTTACTGTTGGGTCACTTTTAGATAGAAAATATATTTATTTAATAGTTGCTTATATCTAAGATACTTGTTGGAAGCCCATAATATCCCTCTTTTTGTTCGACCATAAAAAAAAAAAAAAAAAAAACTCTATTTTGCATGACGGCCAATCCAGGTGAGACCCACCACCGAGAGCGCAGATTTAAAGTTAAGGCGACTGAGATGGTGTAAACAAAGCGGAGGGAAAAAAACAAAAAAAAAACAAAAAACAAAAAACAAAATACCACACAGATAAATAATCAATTGCATGGATCCAAGATGAAGCTTCCATGACGCAAACATCTTATTCCTGTCACATTTCACAGTCCCCGTTTTTGAAGCTTTGTCCCATTTTTCTACGTAAAATGGGCCCACTTGGTTGTTTGATATCTATGACTATGACCATGCTCCACCATCATTGAAAAAGATAAGGTTCCAGTGTTCGTTTCGCACGTGGGTAAAATTAAAAAATATTACAGGCACCCCGTTGACAGTAGAATATGTAGATTAATTACAAGAATTAAAAAAATCCCATGGCTATCTAACATTTACATGTCTATAAAGATAGTTACTACTATTTTCTTGTATCAATTAAGTATGCCTTAGTTACATTAATTATTTTTTTTACAATAATAGAACACAATAAAAAAAAAAATCTAAGGCTTCGCATGCGCACACACTAGCTCGAACTTTGAATGGAAAATTTATAAATCACAAACAACAAGGATGTTATATTGACTGTTCATACAGTACATGTTTGACTAATAGCTGGTTTTAATTTGCTTCAGATTCTATTTAGAGTCGATGGTCAAAAAACAATTATTTAGAGTCCAAAGTTTACGTTCAACTTTACAAAAAGTGTTGAATGATAAATTTGAGAATAGCATTATTATTAAATCATATTTAAGTAATATTAAATTTAATTAAAGATAACTCTTTCAAAATATTTTCTACATTCAAAGTCTAGCTTAAGACCTTATGTACCTTAGGTATAAGTGGTCATATCACTTTTTACCAGGACCAACCTATTGTAACGTATACATGTACTATTTAAAAATATAAAATATTTTTTAAAGTTACATATAAAAAATATAAAATATTTTTAATATTTTAATATGTAATCATTAGTTTTTTTTCTTTAAAACTATGCTTAATAAATAGATCATTTAATATTTATTTTAAAATAAAATGCTCTATTAAATAGACATAAATATAAAAAAATTGTATTAGTTTGAATAAATAATTACTTTATTAGGGTGTAAAATTTAGTTAAAAATACCTTATATTTTTTAATAAAAAAATATATATGTATATATATTTAATATAATATAGTATTTATCAACAAACATTAGACCTTGTGGAAGGAATATAATTCTTTAAACAAAGATTTTGGATTTCAGTCTATTTGAATATATATAATTTAATAGTATTGAACATCATTTGTGTACGTATATAAAAGAAAGAATTATAAGCATTCTGTAGCGTTTTTTAAATTCATGACAATATTTTAACTTTTATTAGTCAAAACATTCATTTATTTGATAACCAGTAATTTTAACAAGATCAATTTAATTTTTGTCTTGAGTAATGACTATAATTATTTATAATAATATGCCTAATACATTAGATAAATATTATTATATGCATATTCAATACCATTTAAAATTTCCCCCGCAATCAATAAAGAAAATGATGTTCATATTCAATTCCTTTTATCATAACTAGTTACAAAATGTTAGATAGTAGGTCTCAAGGCAGTATAAGCTACGTACACTGTTATTATTGATTTAGTCGATATATTTATCTTTCTCTCTCTCACTTATTTTTTGAATTTTTATATTTTGCATGTATGTGCTTGTTAATTTCACATAGACATCCTCGAAGATGGATTTGGATCTTGTGAGTTATTTTAGTTCATTTACTTAAAAAATATTATGTGACAAGATAAACAATCATTTAATTTAATAGAATAATTGTCATATATTTTTCATATAACATTTAAAAAGTATTAAAATTTTGAATTTTTGAAAAAGACATCTTACATTAGGGGTCTTCTAATCGTGGTGATTGTTTTTAATTTTTTTTAAAAAAATATTTTGATAATTTTTATTATTGATGAAGTTTAACTGTTAAAATTGAAATATTCTTGAATGAGTAGATTTGGCCACTCACTCGAATCTAAATCCAACAAGTACACTTAATTTTTTTTTTTTTAAAGGTTGATGAATTTACTCCAATTATTTAAATACTCGTTCACACTACATAAAGTAAAATAATAAATAAGCAAGTAATTGATCACCGCTGTAATCAACTAAAAATTCTATATCTATCTTACACCTCATTATAGCAATAACTAAAAATCATTCTTTCTCCAGCAAGCACAATGATTGCTATCTTCTTCTTCGTCGTCATCTTCAGCGCCACCGAATCAGCCGCCTCTGTATTCAACGATGTCAACTGCACAACCAACATCACTTTCACTCCTAACGGCACCTTCCAGAGCAACCTCGCCGCCCTCCTCTCCTCCCTCTCATCCAACGCCACCGACGGCACCAGATTCTTCAACACCACCATCGCCGGCAACGGCGAAGCAAACACCGTATACGGCCTCTTCATGTGCCGCGGCGATGTGCCGTATCCACTGTGCAGCGAGTGCGTGAACTTCGCCACCCAAAGGATAAGCTCGTCGTGTCCTTTAGCCAAAGAAGCCATCATCTGGTACAACGAGTGCTTGCTGCGATATTCGGATAGGCTTATCTTCTCTTCCATGGAAGAATGGCCTAGATATCAGATCAAGATTCCGTTAGGCGATCCGGTGCTTTTGCGAACTCGTCGATTTTACGAGACGTTGGGATCTATTTTGAACAATCTGATAGATGGAGCAGCTGAGGCTCTTGGAAGATCCAATTCCAAGTACGGTGTTCAGCAAGGTGACGCATCGGCCAACACGACGCTGTATGGCCTTGCACAGTGCACGCCGGACTTAGCCGCCGGCTACTGTAGGCGGTGTGTCAGGGATGCGATAGCGGAGATTACGACGTCGTGTTGTGGAGGTAGCATTGGACAAAGTGTAATGTTTCCCAGTTGCATTGTTCGCTATGAAACGTATCCATTTTATCAGCATTCCGGAACGTCGACGCCCACGCCGACGGCGGCTAACGGTCAGCGTCTAAACTTTTGCCTTTCAACTTCAAAGCTTATATAATCTGGCTCAAAAAATATATAAAAATAAAAATTAATATATATATTAATAATGACTAAGTGATTTGGATTTTGGATCAATATTAATAAAAACCAAAAGAGTTCGATCAGTGTATTTGGTTCGGTAATAGAATTACTGAGTAGATAAATTGTTTTTTTTTAAGAGGTGTTTCCAAAATTAAATTTTATTTGTACAAGATTTAAGAGGTATATATGAAGTTTCAGATGCATTCATCATTACTATTTGATTTTGACATCTTAACTAACTATTCTTAATTTAGTAGCAAAAGTTTAGGCTGTTTGCATAAAATTCTTAGAGTCGTCTGTATAATATCAATATAAAGAAATAAAATCACCGAAGTCTAAAATATTACCATCAGTGTCCCTCTTGTCTAGTTCGTCAATATAATTAATTAATACTGGTTTTAATTTGATTAACGGCCTCAACCCCAGATAAAATAATTAATACTAAATTAGAAGATGCGGTAGGCAAGGGATCACATGATATAATTAAGCAGATTTTAAATTAATTTATCCCCACTTCCTTTTCCACCAACTCCAAACTTCAACTCCATTATCATGTATTTATTAACATTTATATGCTAATGGATGCTGAAAGGTAACTTTCCATAACAAAGGTTATATTAAATTATTAATCAAAAAATGACATGTTAAACAAGTTTTTAAAGAGTTATAATATCATGGAATATTATAAAATCTATAAACTCAACATATTTATTTCGACGCTGGATAATTAAAATAAAGAATGTGCTTTAGTTGCTATAAGAGCAAGACAGCCCAAAACATGATTGCAGAGAAGCCAAAAGTGTCACATTAGTTAAAATGTTCTTGTCAGTCAATGGCATCCTGTGTGAATGCTGATAGATCCTTGCAGGAAAAAGCAATAAATTGCGAACACAAATGATTGCGATTCTTGTCCCCTCGATTATTCTTGTTCTGGTGGTGATACTCGTTTTGTGCTACTACATGGTACCCACAAATTCGAAGAAGAAATCACAAAGGGCCATTGATGTTTCAGAAAACTGTAAGAAATTATAATACCTTTTATATACGATTAATTAATGTTTCAGGTTAATAGAAAATTAAGGCCTTTAATTAGATTTTGCATAACCTGGATTCTTACGCATGTATCTGATTTAACATTTTACAGTTGCGGGTTGAAATTATTACCACAATGGATTCCTTGCAAATTGACATGGCTACAATTAAAGTAGCCACAAACAATTTTTCTGAAGGGAGCAGGATAGGCAAAGGTGGATTTGGAGTAGTTTATAAGGTGATAATTGTGACAGAAGATCATGCTTTTTTTTTTTTTGGTTTTAAATTTCATGTCTTTGTTAACTGATGGCTTGAAGTTTTAGGGAATTCTTCCTAATGGCCAAGAGATAGCTGTGAAGAGATTGTCAAGAACTTCTACACAGGGAGTTGAAGAATTCAAAAATGAAGTTTTACTAATAGCCAAACTTCAACATAGAAATTTAGTGAGGCTGCTTGGATTCTGCCTTGAAGATGATGAGAAGATGCTTGTCTATGAATATGTGCCTAACAAGAGCCTTAATCACTTCCTATTTGGTACGTCGTTATTCCTAGCTGATTATTTAAAATATTTGCTGGTAGATTTTACTAACGCTTGCCAATTGATGACACATTTATCTTTAGATCCTTTGAAGCAAAGGGAATTAACTTGGGCCGAGCGTTTTAAAATTATAAAAGAAATTGCTCGAGGAATCTTATATTTGCATGAAGACTCACGTCTTAAAATCATACATCGTGATCTTAAACCAAGCAATGTTCTGTTAGATAGCAGCATGAGTCCAAAAATATCAGATTTTGGCATGGCAAGACTAATAACACTAGACCAAATTGAAGGGAGCACAAGTAGGATTGTTGGAACATAGTAAGTCTAAAATTATCTTATATATTCTCCTCCTTCTATGCTTTTATATTAAGAATTGTTTGAATACTAACAAGTTACACATTTTTAGTGGATACATGTCTCCAGAATACGCAATGCACGGATACTTTTCTATAAAATCTGATGTCTTTAGTTTCGGAGTCATGATGCTGGAAATTATTAGTGGACAAAAGAATTCTTGTTCTTATGAATCATGTCGCATTGATGATCTCTTGAGCTATGTAAGTATTAATTTTATTTACCTTCTTTATATCTTCATATGTATAAAACTGAACTATATGTACAAAAGTCATAGAAAAGAAGAGACAATAGCATTTATTAAAATAAGTACATTTTTTAACATTTATTCTAACTAATATAAATTGTTGCAGGCTTGGAGAAAATGGAGGGAGGAGTCAATAGAAGAATTGCTGGATCCAGCAGTGAAAGAATCTTATTCTCAACAAGAAGTGTTTAGGTGCATCCAGATTGGTTTATTGTGTGTTCAGGAAAATCCAGAAGATAGGCCTACAATGGGAAACATTGCTTCATATCTTAGCAGCGTTATAATCGAATTGCCATATCCTCTAGAGCCTGCATTTTTCATGCAGGGAAGAAGAAGAAGAAACCATGTTCAACATGACCCTAATTCTGATCACTCTACCAACTACTCTGTCTCGTCATCCATTAATGAGATGTCTATAAGCAAATTTTTCCCTCGATGATGACGACGACGACGACCACCACCAATTAGTTTTGATATACGTGAAGAAATTGTAACTATACAATATAATACTCGATTCTATATTTCTTGTTTACTTCGGGTAGTGGTATTTGTTATGTTGCTCGTAGTATTGATGTAATTTGATGTATTTTACTGACTGATTTATTTTTTGACAAGATATATATAAGCGATCAAGTTGATTTCTTTGTAATAAATTAATTAACTAATTGTATGGGAGAGATTTTTAATTATTTAGAAAAACAAGTCAATAGATGAAACCAAATGTCATTCCAAACAGAGAAACTAATCTATCTCCTTCAAATACAGATATATCCAAATGTCATTCCAAACAGAGAAACTAATCTATCTCCTTCAAAATACAGATATATATATCCCTTCCAACTAGATTTGGAGTTATTTTCTTTCAAATATCTAATCATTTGCTTAAGAAAGATGAGAGTCTTTACTTATAACTCATGCTTACCTGAATTGGTACTTGAGAATGAATTATTTTCTCATAATATTAAGGTTGATATTTACTTTCGGAATATATTATTATATTTTTGAAACATACAATCAAACTTTTGTAGCTACCCAACAATTCACTTGCAACGATAGCCGTGTTGACTGTGACTCTTCTTAGATGTCATGCATCGTCCATTATTCATTAAATTTTGTAAATACATGATTGATTGTTGACAAGGATTGGTCTAGTATAAACACATACCTAAAAACAAGAGCAAGTCATTATTCAATATTGATATGAGAATTTTATCATGGTAAGTAATCAATAATTAGCTAGCTATTGCCCTTATAAATCTAGTTCTCGATATGGACTTGATTAAATTTTTGTACACCAAAATAGAAATTACTTAACAAATTAAATACAAATCATGCACATATACCAGCATAATCATAATACATCCTAAAATTTATAGACAAAGTAAGTGTCAACCACGTATAAATTAAAAAAAATCACAGGGAAATACAATTAACATCATTTCAAAACAATCTATAGCAAGAAAAACTATAACCATAGCCCAAGGACGCAAGAAAATCAAGTTGACGTCTTTGAAACAAGCTTCAAGAACTCATGATGATGGAACAAAGATAAACATGTTTGATAAATGCTTTTAGAAAAAATAGAGAGGAAACATCTTACTTTATATTATCCACAATTCATTGGAATCTTTTACAATTCCTCAAAACATTTTTCATATGCCTATTTGCTAGGAAACCTTTCTATATGACTATCTAATTATATTAGATTTAAGTGTTGTCAACTCAATTTGAAATAACTCTCTTAAAAACGTTTTCTACATTCACATAAACTCAGATGTTTATTAGGAAATTTAACAAATCCATATAAATGATGGGTTGAACATATAAAGGCTTAAACTAAAATGGATTCTTAATTCTGGCCCAAAACAATGGACTCATAGTCCAGTAGAACTGATGATAAGCTACAGTAAGCAATTATTAGCCCATTCAAAGTAGCAAACTAAAATAGAATCCTAGCCCAAATAGATTCGGTGATCCCTTTACAACCAAACCAAAGGGTAAAAAAAACATTCAAACAAAAATTGTCCAAACAAGAAACAAAATGGAATCACAACTACAAGCATGAAGTTTTCATCATCAATCTAGATTATACAAATAAAATTTGAATAGTTAACTTAATTTATTTTTTATTTGAGATGAATATTTATTTTCTTAGATATAAAATCTGAAATAAAGATAATTTCATGACCATCATTTTTTAAAAAAAATTATCATGTGAAAAGATGAAAATAAAAAAATTTGAACTTTGAATTGCCCAGACTGAATTTGAATGATTTAAATCTAATTACAGTAATGAGCACACCTCATTGCTGCGATGAACACCAAACGAGGAATCAAAGAAGATACATATGCTAAAATTAAAGTAATGTTTGACCCTTTTACAAATCAACAACGTCTTAACATTTTTTTTTTTTGGAAAAATGATATTCCAAGACCTATTAGGAGACAGAATGACATTTTAGGACCACAAAATTTTAAAATGCCGCAAAAGGACAAGATCCTTGACCTTGGTAAACAAAAATATACTCACATTACATGATGAAAATGCCCATGGTGATTAACTGATCATATCCGATAAATCGCTTTCTTCTTCCATTAAGTCCCCTCTTTTAAAAATAAATAAATAAAGGCAATATTATTAAGGGTAAGACTTAAGTACTTGGTCTTATATACTTGATATACTTTTATTTAATCAAATAAAGACAAGTAAATTTTAGTGTATTAATAATATTAATAATAAGTGTTTATTATTAAAAAAATAATCTATAAAAGATTCACATGTCTTAATTCAATTGAAAGCAAGTATATTAAGCTAAGTTTATAAATTTTTATATATTATTAATGACATAAAAAATTATACACAAATGCCTTATAAAGAAAACTCTTTAAAGCCCCAAAACTAAGCAAATAAAATAGGGTTAAGGGTTATTTTTGCCTATGTAAAAAGTCATTATGAGACCTTAAACTCTACTTGAGATTAATTTTATTCCTTAATTTTAGAAATTTAATCATTTGTTCTCCTATTGTTATTTTTCTATTAAGTGAGTCCAACATTTGATTTTTAAATATTTTTTTTGAGTCGCACCATTTTGTATATTTTTTGTAATATAAAAAATACTCCTCTCTCTCCCCCCTTTTATTCCCTTTCTCTCCCTAAAGTGTCTTCTACTAGAGCTGATAATTTGGGCAGGCTAGACTTATTTAGGTCGAGTCAATTCGAGCCAGGTTTATTCATATCAGGCTTAAAGTATCATACTCTTAAAAAAACCCATATAGTCAAGTTTAACCCTAACTTTTTTCAGGCAAGCTCATGTTTGCTGTCAAACTTAGCCTAAATTACTGACTCTACATGCATATAGAGCCGGTAATTTGGCAATCAAACTTATTTGGCCCTAGCTTAATTCGAGGTTGGAATTATTTATATCGGACTTAAAGTATCCTACCCTTTTAAAAAACACTCATATAGTCAAGCCTGACCCTAATTTTTTTGCGAGTGGCCTATTGAGCATGGCTTGAATTACCGGCTCTAATGTCTACTAAGATAGAGTAGACAACTTCCTTACCTTCAGAACATGGTGGAGTTGACAAGAAGGTTCACAAGAACCTTCTTGTGAGGTCGACCCATTGGGAGGCCTAGGCATCATCATTGTAATGACCTCTATCATAAACCAACAACCAACCATAGTAATTAAAACAAATTGATTAGATTAAGAAAGATTCACAAGAAGGATAGGATCAACCTTGGCTATTTTGGAAACTCCAAAGTTAAATCAAATCAAAGTTCTTAAAATTCTTTTTATAGAATGAGATCCTAATATGAAATGAAAAAAGTAGTAACACTTGAGATTATAGTAGAAAAGATTATGGAAACATAGAAATACAAATTGAGCATTTGAAAATAGTATAAAGAAGGTTAAGAAAGACATTTCAAAATTTTGTTACATCCGTCACTGCTTAAAATGTAACTACCATAGCTAATTTTCTAAATGAAGTAGATCGCTGCAGTTGAAAAGACCTTTCGCCATGGCCAACTAAAAGTGCAAATCAGCTATGACTAAATGTGCACTCATCGTGACCTACGGTATAAGGCCACTTTGCCGCAGCAAATATCCACTCCACCCCTATTTAAACTTTTAAATCACTTAATTAATTGCCATAGCAAAATTAATTATCCACATATCCACTCAACCATGGCTTGTGGTACTAAACAAAGATCCTAAAACACTTATGCCAGACAAGCATTGATGCTAAAAGCACCAAAATCTAGTGTCTCTCTTCTTAAGTTATTATCCATATAAACTTTATTACACTTAAAATATATTCTTAACCAAACATGCATAATAATTGACTTGCACCCGTGAGTTGTGAACACTCAAGTCTCCCCTCTTATAGCTTACCATTAGTTAGGAGGCTATTAAAGTTGGAGGTAAATGCCAATCCTCCCAATTTGAGAAAACTAAAAACATGAACCTCATGCAACACTTGACTCAATTCAAGACATATAAAATCCATACTCAGGTGCCTAAATAATCATCATAGGCTACAAACAAGCAACAATGCAATCTATGCAAATGACTCCTCATGTTGGAGATACACTATTCAATTACACATAAATAAATAATAGAGACATTACAATAGTTAGATGTATCTAGACTCACCTGCCTCCCTTTGTCCTGGGATCAAAATGTCTATTGGCAAGAATATCAAAACCATGGGAGTAAGATTTTATAATCTCAGTAACCAAACACATAAATTTAAGCATATAAATGTGGCCCATATAAGCAATTAAAGTATAAATTCACATGTATAAATTTCATAATTTACCATATGTATCTGAATAACATAATCATAACCATAAAACATGTGAGACAATAAAAATTATAATTATGCATGATCATGCTCCACCCTTATTACACTTATTATATCTTTTGATAGAATACATGGGTTATTAAATCATATAGGACTAACTTATGTGATCAAATTAGCTTTGTTTTCCAATTGTCAGAGGTGACTCGACTAAGGCCCTAAACTCACTCTTAGACCATGAATTTCCCCTATTCTAAACTCATAGGGTGTCATTTTCCCAATCCAGGGCAATACCTACTCTGGGGTAATAATTAAGAATCAAAACATTGAGGTCTCACAATGCTGGTAAGTATCACATGGATTTCTATATCGCCCTACTCTTTTAGGTAAACTCTCACCTATTCATGATCATGCCAATCCATGCAAATGACATATTTATAGTCATATTCATCATGCATATTATTCATCCATAGATCAGCAGATCACATTTCCGTTATCATATCATACAACACATATTTGTACTATCACATTCATATTCATCATTGTATAAATACCATGTATATCATGATCATAAATATACTCACACGTATAATAATGTTTCTCATGCTCATTGACCATATAGCCATACCTAATAACCTATATCCTGTCATATCACCATCAATAATTCATGCTCAAACAACTAACATTAAATCTATTCAATCATGTGATACATACTCTTATCACAACCTAACTCATATCATATTCACTAAGCCAAGTCCATATATAGTAGCATACCATAATTCCATCCATTCATATGCCAAAATCAATCAAGCTCATAAATGTAAACACAAACAT